CATCAAGGCTTCGAGGAAACTGATACAGCAACGTTTCGTATGCTTAGTATGCAAAAGGACATAGCCAACTGGATACGTTCGTGCTTGGAGTGCCAAAAATCGAAAATTGTCAGACACCCACCAGCCAACTTAAAAAATTTAATTTGCCCTTATCTCCCTTCAATCACGTGCACCTGGACTTGGTCGGACACTTATATTTATTAATAATATAATACATGAAACACAATTAATTACTATGTATACACTTTTCTTACCTTGGATGAAGCAAATTTATCATTTTACTTCATCAAAGTCGAGCCTTTCAAATTTTTTCTCTTTCCACACATAAATGCTAGATGACTTAGGGGATCTTTTCCCATCGTTGATTGTAAATATGTGAAATTATTTTAACTTGCTGAACGAAAATTCATAGCGGCATTTATAATGAAATAGTAAGTAGTATTTGAAGTGCGACTCTTAGATTTGGAAAACATTTCTCTATAGCTCTGTAGTGAGTTTTTGATTTCCGTTTCTTTTCTACTACGGAGTACGTCATGCAGTCACATTCACTGCTAAAAAAATTAGGGATATTGTAGGTTCGGTAGGAAATAACCATATAATCGATAACCTTTTTGAACAAAGGAAATAAGAGATTATAAGAAATTATAACGTTTACAAAGTTGGGAATATGCAAATTTAGTCTGTGACGGTCAAAAACTATGCGTTTTAGATAAGGAGTAAGGAGCGACCTGCAGTATTCCTTTTGTAATAGGAGATTAAAAACAATTGACATGCGTTGAATACTTCGTAGCAGTGAATATACGATGTCTCAGCAAGATTACTTTTTGAATCGGTAGCCAGGAAGGCATTCATCGTTTTACTACAGGAGAGTCGAACTCAATCCATTGCAGCGGAAGCATTAGGATTTTCTCAAAATGTCATTTCCAGATTATTGAATCGGATTTTGGAAACTGGATATGTTTGAGAATTCGGACGAGCCGTGTTATCGTTTTAAAATAAAAAGCGGAAGTTATACGTGCATTTCGTTTTAAAAAAATACAAATATCTCTACTTTGGAGAAATAAAGTGGTCAAAGAACGTTTTGGGTTGATGCAACATTTTATTACCTTTATCAGGCATCAAAATAATAATTAAATTTACAATATTTTAATTTATATTTTCAGAAACGCCATAAACTAATTCCAAATCTTGTTTGAACCATTCGCTCTCTACAGGCGCCGGGACACACCCCTTCCCCTCCCTCCTACGCACTGAATCAAATCGAGTGAATGGTTAGGCGGCATTTAGTAGCCTCTGCTACTTTAACCGTCTCTGTTGGAGATATGCCCTAAGGCGTTGGGAAGAATTAAAAATTAAGGTGATTTACACCGCACCGACAAAGGTGAAGCAGGAACATGTGCTAATGCACGTGAGTTGGTCAAGTAGACTTTGGAGAAGGAGGGTTCAAGCATCTGGCCGCCGTACAAGCTGTGATGTATCTTCACTAGTTGAAGAAAGATGATACGTCGAGGCCAGTCACGTGGGTGGTCACCCACCCAAGTACTGACCCCGAGCTCTGCTGCTGTAAACAGGGGAACCTGTGTGTTGAAAAAGTGAAAAGAAATCGTAAACATAGTGAAATTCCCTCAAATGCTTCTAAGCTGGTGATTACTCTTCACTTTCAGCAAATCTCATCAGTGTCATGGCTGCTTTGAACCCGGCAGTAAACTTCTCAGCCGTGGTTTTTGCAGCGCGGATCTTCTCAACGTGCTCAACCATACTGTTCAGAAATTTTTTTGATTTTAGGATCTTGGATCCAGTTTATGATATCCTTGTACTCTGTGGGTGGGTTTTCCAATTTTTTCTTTACTCTATCACTGTAGAGAGGTTTCATCTGGGTTTTACTGCTGTCTTCCTCTGTTTCGATGAATTTCGGAAAATCTGCCGGCGTAGGGATCTTAGCTGCTGGCTTCGCCTGCTGCTTCTTTGCTTCATATCGCTTCTTGTACACGGGGCAACCCCTGTATGAACTTACATGCGGTAGTGAGCAGAAGATGCACTTAGGTTTTTTCTTCTGGCTTTAGAGGGCATTCTTTACTTCTATGGTGCTGTCCACACTTGCAGCATCGCTCAGGATTTGAGCAAAGATGTTGCGAATGTCCATATTCTTGACATCTATAGCATTGAATTACGCGTTTTTTTCGGGGCAAACTTCTCGATCTTGACATTAACACTTAACATATTGTTGAGTCCATGAATTGCACGTCCTTCCTTCGTTTTCTTCAGCTCCAACAGGAAAATCGGAAGTTTCTCGATAGCGTCTCCTCTTCGTCTGGAAAACTGCTTGACTTTACTTATCGGGAATTTCCTTCTCTCCAGATCTGCCTGGATTATTTCTTCCTTCATCGTCGATGGGAGGCCCTTAAGAACAACCTTAATAGGTTTTTCGCTGAGTAACTGGAAAGTATGAAATGGTATATTTCTTTTCTGCAAAACCAGAGTTGCTTTTCTGTAATCGTCTACTGACTTTAAATTAACATATAGTAGTTTCATTTTCATATCGGCTTCGAATTCTTCACTGCAGGTATTGATAAGGATTTCATGAATTTTAGGCCAATCCACTTCGCTTTGCTGGAAAACTATTGGGGGTGGAGTTTCCTCTTTTTCGGCTCCTCCTTCTTCTTCCATACCTTCTACTTCACTTAGCTGCTCAAAATCGATTTTCCGTCGTAACTTCCATTGGAGCTTCGTTTTCTGATACTTTCGCGGTTTTCTTAGGAGAAATCCATTCTTGTTCCCTGCTGTCTGTTCCTCTTTCAGTTATCTGCCCTGGACAAATTTTTTCGTGAATGTCTCTACATCCATCTCACCCTTAGTTCTTTTATGAAAGTAATTGCAAATAACGTCAAATCCAAATTTCGCAATCTGGTCCCGGATTTCTTCTTTAGAACATGACTTGAATTTTGGAGTGTCCTCATCATTTCTCCATTGATAAATCTTCTGGTGCCTGTTCATCAGTAGCTTCTTCTCCATTCGGTGTTTGAATGTCTCTTTTTTCCTTGCCAGGTTTAACATCTTTCTTCTTACTTGGTTGTCCGCTTTCCGTATCTGACATAGTTTTCGCCTTTTTTGCTTTACTTTTCTTGTCTTTGGCCATAACAACGCTGAAATCCTCTTTCTTCAATGGATAGGTCTTGTTGGATTTGGAACGAACGCTCGCTTCGGTAAGTCCTCTTCATCAGAACTATCGAGTGGTGTCCTGTACAAGGACATTTTGTTTACCCGAAGGTATTAATCAGTCAATAAACTTTTTCAAAATCAAATTCTGATTATTCTGATCAAATTCTTCAGAAAAAATCGTAACAACGAACTGAAAAGAACAAGCTCAAAACGTAAATATCTCATCGAATTCTACTTGTACTGCCACTGTCTCAGCTTTAGACAATTGAATTTAAATGCAAAGTAAAGTAGCAGACGATAACACGGCGAAGGTAAAAATTTACTCTTAAAAATATTTTTTTTAAAAAGTAAGAGAAAAAGAAATTTTAAAAAAGTTAAAAACTTGAATAATATCATTTATAATTTTTAAAAAAATAGCTTTTCATATAGTATTAATAAATATTTATTATGCATCACTGAGGGAAAAAATTTCGTATAATTAATTCTCCGTAAAAATTTTTTTGAAATTTAAGGTTAAAAATAGCTGTGGCAATTCACTGTAACAAAAATCCATAAACCACATTTGGCGTTATTATTGCTCAAAAAGATGCCAAATTTCAATACGCAAAAATAGGTGAATTTGTGTATATTTTAGAGAATTTTGAATAAAAAACTCTAATTTTTTGCAGGTATGCTTAGAACTACACTTCTTTAAGATGATGGTAAAAATTTTATAGGTTATAATTCAAAATATTTTTCGAAAAATTTACAAAAATTATTTAAAAATAAAACACAAAAAAATGGCTGAATTTTATTTGGAATGAACCTAAGTTTCGAAATGTGAAAGGAAGAATAAAAAAAAAGATATTAATAAATATATGCCAAATTCAATTAACATTGAGGAGCTAAAATTTTGAAAGCTAATTTTTTAAAAACTACTCGTACGATTTTTACAAAACTTGGCAGTCTGGCATAATTTGAGTCGTAGAATCGAAATATGGAAAAACCATTTTCAGGTCATTTCAAGAAAAGTCCGATTTTGTGTCAAAATACCCATGTTAAAATAGTGCATTATATAAATCTAATATATATCCTAAGTCGCGCTTTCGAGACATGAAAAACGCAATTTGAATTTTGTCAATCGGCCCAGTAGAACGGGATATATAGAACTGTCCCTCTTTTTTTTTTTCCCGCACTGTTGTTTAGTATAATAGCGGTCTTCCAAAAACAAAATTTGAATAGAAAAAGAAAGAAATTAGAATATTATGGAAATAATAATGGAAAGAAAAAAAATCGACTGGAAAATGCTTTATATTATTAAATGTTCACTGCGCAAATGTAAGATTATTCTCCACTTTAAAGCATTAAAATTAAATTCGTTTATCGCCTACAGGCTAAAAAACGTAGTAATTGCTAGATAGAGAATATATCAAATTTGCGACTAGCGCGTAGATGTTTTGTTTATTAAAACTACCAAAGTTCTGTAATTATGTAGTTTTCTTCAGCTGATTTTTAAGAATGGTAGATTACTGTAAAATGAATGTATTTTGAAATTCTCATATGATATAACGAGGTGAATGTTCTTCACAGTGGCGTAGCTAGAGGGGGGGGGACACCTGTTCCTGGGTATCCGGCGGGCGCCAAACTCATGTAGCGAAATTTTAGAATTAAATGTCTTCCATTCTTAGCAAGCAGGAGACAGCATGAAATCTTCATTTGTCCCCCGGTTCTGAAAACACTAGCTACGACTCTGGTTCTTCAAGCTGTTTGATGGCAAATGAGAAGCAATGATAAATAGGATTATTTAATTACAAGTTTTAATTTTTTTTAATTTTTATTGAAAATTCTTCTGTGGCTCAATACCTGGGTCACCAATAGATTTACTTAATATACTCCATTGTGAGAAGAGTGATCCAAATAAGTAGTTCACATTAATGTAAACAGAAGGATTAAATTTATTTATTTTATAGCTGCAAAATAAAGTTAGGTAGTTTGGCTATGACAAAGCAACTACTCTGAGGACGGAGGACTTTCTGTGGTAAAACGGCTCGAGTTCATGTTACACATAAGAAAACCCACACCGCCAGCACGTTCGTCTGGGCTCGAACCCAAACCAGGTCGAACTATCAGTATTCAGGGTCTTACCCTTTCAGCCACTGGTGGGACGCTGCAAAATAAAGTTCATAGTTATTAGTTTTTGAAAAAGATTACTTCCTCACAATGTTTTTTAAAACACGGCTGTATACCTGTAATAAAATCATTAAAATAATTAGATGATATTATTTCTAATATCTATAATATCGTATTAATACAAATTCAATTTAGAAACATATACTCTCCAGAAAATTGCCTCCTTTTATTTCCATAAGGAAGTAGAAAAATAAGGCTGCACTATTGGTGATAAAGAGATGTTTCCAGCTCAGGTTGATATGGAAGTTACCTTCTGGCAATTGTTAGAAATGAGATGAATAATTTCATGTCATGTTCAGATCAAATTAAAATTGCTCCGCTTCAGCTAAATAAGCCAACGTATAGCTTAGTATCGACACTTTTCGCGCTTATTGTGGATATGTATTATAAAAATATTTTCCATTTTCCCCCTACCCTACCACTGGAATATACAAAATGGCGTTGTATGATACCCGAACTCTTTATTGCCGTCGTTGTCCATGCTTCACATCTGTTGCGCCCGGCGATCATGCTGAACGGTGCTTAGAATCATTATAGAGAGGCCCCGAGTGATAATCATGGTGCAGTTAAGACACACTAAATAAATTTGCAAATTGATGCTGCTTCTTGCCCAAAATGAGGCAGAAACTGTATTCAAAAGCGCCTTTCATCAAACTTGTTCTTTGAAGCGGATCCTTAGGTGATAGAATGAGTCCATCGTGCAATTAGTATCATCATAAAGAGAGGGGGCTGCGTCTCGGGTGTCGACGGGAGGGTCGGGTCGTGTAATTGGCCGTCTCGGGAGGAAGTGGCTGCTGCTGAAGTGTGCCGGGATGTTAGGGTCCAGTAATCGAGTGTGCCGGAAAGTTTGCACGTGAACAAAAGGCGCTCATTGTTCGGGCGTGCCCCTCCTTAATTCCCGCATTCTACGTCATGGTCTGCATGGTCCTTCCATTCGAAAAACTTCTTTTGGATCTTAACAGACACGCGCCATCAAGAGGGACTCTTTTTCTGAAGAAAATCCGGCTATCTGTACCTTTTTTTTCCCCTATTCAGAAGACGAAAAAGAGTTTGACATAGCGCACTACCAAAACCTTCTACAAGGGAGTGGGAATGAACTGAGTCTTTCTTTAACGTACAGAATAACACATTATCCAACATCCTGATAAGATTGGATACAATCCTGATCGTATTGTAAACTTCTTTTTTGATAGATCCTAGGAATGACAAGTTTACTTGAACATAAGAAAAATCGGAAGAAATAGTTTACTGTTCCTAGGGAAGACCTTATATTTCAAAATCGTAGGAAATAGGCAAAATTTTCTAGAAACACATTTTCGTAATGAAGTAAAATAATTTGGAGAAAGCAGTATGTTGTGATTGTTCATACTAGCGGTAATTTTCAGAGATAAGGGTCGATAATATAAAATAAAATTAATATTCATTAAGATTAATTAGGTCGAAAATCTTAACTGAATTCTAAATTATTATTTCTCTTAAGTTTCAAGATTCACATACTTTTGTATATTTCCCGATTTGTTGAAACAATTATTTTGCCACCAAATAACTCTGGCTTATTTAGGTTGTATAGCACTGAAACATAATTAGGGCAGATATTGCTAGTTCCCGTAACACTCGAAATTTAAGTTTTAACCCCTCATTTTTCGAAGTGTAAGAAGTTTATTGTATGAAGAAATATTTTAATGAATCCAACTGAATACAAGTGAAACAGGGTATCCATCAAGTTTTTATACTTGCCTGTCATCTTTTTCAGTATCCTATCGGGCTATTCTGAAAGGGCTACTCTTCTGAAATTAAAATTCTATTTCTATGATAAATCAGTCTGCAGTTAGTTAACTGGATTTCGGTATGACATTTTCTTGCGACTAGTAAATAATATAAATACGCATCAAAAATGATAAATTTTCCTGATTTTTAATTTCTGTTTAAAAACTATTTCTTTAAACTTACGTTTACAAGGACATAATAAACTGACATTTTTGTGAATAACCTTGTTATACATTAGAATCCTTCTTTATTTTTAAGAAATCTTACAGTACGTCTAAGAAGTTCCTGCTATAGCGAGCTGACACAAAGCAAGAGTGTAGCGTATTTAATTTATTTAAAATTGTAGGTTATATATAAATAATTTACAAGATAGTGTATATTGGTTCTAGTCAAAGAATAAGGGGGAAAAGTTAAATTAATTGCACCCCCCGAAAAAAAAGTTCTCAGAGGGTTCCTTAATGCAGGGTGAAGTTCTTATGTAAGGCAAACAGCCTTGTTGCCTATCCTGGCCGCAGGATAACTCGGCTTGCTCGGAACGACCATTACGTAATGGTCGTTCCGAGCAAGTTACTCTCAAATTAGGTAGCGGAAAGTCCGACTACCGGTTACTAGATCTCTCCGCAGAGAGATAAGAATGTTCTTGACAGTGCGAACAGAGAAAATTTTCCTTTTGGCAAAGCTGAAAACACAAGAGAGGAAGTTTTACTATTCTTCACCAAACTAACTCTAACTCTGAAGCTGCGTTAACTGTTTTCTGTTCAAGATTTCATAGGCGTTTCATGAAGACTTTCTGAATCCCTTTTTGCCCTAACTTTTCAGGCGTCTCTCGACTAGCAAGTGTACTGTGATTGTCTGCGGGTATGATCTTCACATGCCTGGGAAAATACCCTGATAATTCTCAGGCTCCATCTTGGACGTGATCCGGATTCTCTGCATCTATGTGTTCCGTGACAGGCAGGTGATACATAACAAGTACACCTATTAACCGATGCGTGGAAATTTTAAACGAAGGATTCCCTCGTTCTAGGTATTCTCAGGATCAAAACAATGTTTCTTCTTCGGAGCACCATGAAACGAACCACTGAATCGCAAACGCTACGTGATGACGGATCATATCCAGTGGCGTAACTAGAACTCTTGGGCCCCTATGAAAAAAAAATTTTCCTGGGCCCCTTTCCCAACAAATTTAATGTGCTTAAAAATAAATAAATAAATGAATAAATAAAAAACGCGAATATTAAAAAAAAATCAAAGATTCCAGGGCCAATGTTTCATGAATTTTTTCACATCTGGATTAATTTTAAATAAAAGCACGTTCTTGGGAACCAGTTGAAAGATACGTAACGTGAAGAAAGAATAAAAAGGAAAATAATTTCCCTTGACCAACTGGTGGAAATGAAAATTGCTTTAGTCTGCTTTTTGACGTCAGATGATTTTGAATAATGAATAAGTTTATATAAAATGAATAATTTATATAAAAAAAGAACAGCGACGTATAGCATTAAGAAAAGAAAAATATGTCTACTGATTATTCGATTATAATGCGAATTAGACAGAAACAAATTAATGCATAAATAAAAAATAGTACTTTATAATAAATAGTTGCATTAATTTCCACTTAACCGCTTTTGATTTGGGATTGCAAAAGGAGAAACCTTTCCTTTAGGGGGTTGTCTTTAATAATTTTCACGTTTGAGACTAAAGAATACAAAGAAACTTTTCCTATTTTTCACTCACGCTATCCTAACTGGGGTAGGTCATGAAGTTTTATTTCATAGTCGAATGCTGGAATTTAACTTTGCAAACACTTGAATTTAGCTGTTCAGGTGCTTCCAAGGCCTCCTATCTGCGTCATACAGAGAATTGCGTTACTGCACCATATAGGTAGGGGGCCCTTAAAAATTTAAAAGAAAACGAATTCTATTATCTACATATACTTAAGGATTCTAAAGCGAAAAGTAAATTGGGTCAAATCAAGGCTATTCCCCTCAACTATATTAATATTAATAATCGTGTAAAAGGGGTTTAACACAAATCCAAACTTATCAAAATTAAATAGAATTTTATAGTAGTACAAATTCTAAAAATAAAATGAAAAGCTAAAGGGAAAAAAATACAAGATAAAAATGTAAAAATAATAAATAATTTTTTATTGAAATTCTAATTTCGAACTCATCAAGGAAAATGAATTAAAACTTCTTTATATATTAATGGAATCCGTCTTTTAAGTTTAAACATGTAAATGTAGTTCATCAGGACATTTAAGGGCCCCCTAAGCCTTCGGGCCCCTATGCGACGGCATTCCTTGCATACCCTTATTTAGGCCACTGATCATATCGTGTCCTTCAAAATACCTTCGTGGCTTTCTAAAAGGCTTCGATCACATTCTGCTTTCTTGAGAATTACTAAGGGATCGTTAGAAAATAACATTGAGTGGTCGTTTGAAAATAGCTGCAGACGTCACTACATAAACCCTTATAAATAATAAAAAATATCCTTATAAATGAATTTTATAAACCCTTATGATTGAACGTAATTAACTCAAATAGGAGTTGTGCAGGAGATCCTCGTGTGGACACAAAAAGTACGATCATTCAAGTCTTAAATTTGTGACATTCTTTCCAACATTACTATATACATTCTTCCAGAGCTGATGCCCTCTTGGACTGCAAGTTTTAGCAGCGACGTTCGACAACCTACTTTTTGGATAATATCCCATAACGGGTTGTCCGTTAGTCAGTTTAACTCCGTTTCCTTACTTTAAAACATTTATCTGGTCCTAGGGGCTAGGAGACTAAAATGAGCTTTTCATCTAGAGCCAGAAGTAGATTTAAGGGATCCCATAAGTCATTATCGTGAAAAATCTCCAAATCATTAATTAATTTTGTGGTAAATATACTGTATTTCTTAAGATGAGGAATTACAGAAGTCAGGTGAGATGAGTAATCACTTCATAAATCCAACTCTGCAGGTAATGGGTTCATGCAGTTACACTGCAGAAGCGGTTTTGGTATATTGATAAAAACACTTTTTTTTGTTTTTGTTTTTTTGGTTTTTTTGGTTACTATAATAGGTTAAATAGCGTTTCTTCCTGAAATCAATTGTACAGAATTCAGTACCTCAAAAAGTGAAAGATTAATTAAAATGGTGATCCCCCTTATTAGAATATAGCACGTCAATCAGTTTATTTCCGAGAAAGAAATATGGAAAATCAGAGATGCGCCGGGATTCGAACTCCGGACTTCCCGATGCTAACCTGACGTGCTTTTAATAGCACCACGAAGGCACACAGTAAGGAAGGAGAAAATTTCTTACAAGTTTGTAGAAATGCTGACAGCCGTGAAACTGTATAGAAGCATTTGTTTCTTATTTGTCCATTTCAAACATTTCCTTAGAAGAGGCGCAACCATAGTGAATTTATAAGACACTTCAAAAGAGAATGATTCACCTTGTGAGGCTGCAGTATTTAAAAGCATTTATTCTTATTTATCGATCGTAGCATATGCTTTGTCAGTGTTGTAAATGTTATTAAATTTTATATGAAAAAGCAATTTTAAAACAACAGAGGTATTTATTTAAAAGGTTTTGATTGAATAGATCTCATTATTACTGTGATCTCATTATTACTGCTGTCATCTCACTGCATTCAAACGCACACTTCCCCTCATACACACACTTTCCCCTCGGCGGTATATTTGTAACAAGCAAGGGAAAGCATGCCGAGCTGAATGTCTGGATGTCTTCGACCGCTTGCCGCCACTGCCGGATCAGGGCCACCAGAAGACGGCCCGTAGTAGGAATGGGAGCGGCTCCTGCGAGACATAGCAAACCTGAAAGTGAATGTGGGATTTCGTTGGTTAGTGGCCCACCCGCGGTGAGAGTAAAAAAAATGTGGGGGGAGAAAGGGGTCAATGACACGTCGATGTTCGCTTCACTCGGTATTGTAATTAATTTCGGAACAACTCTTCTGCTCCTTTTTTTCACCGTTCTCTTTCTTTCGCTCCTTCTCTCTCTGCGAACTGGTTTTAAGGTATGTGGTTAATTGGCTCATCGAACACAGCATTCGATACCATTCCGATTAGCAGCCAACAGTTCCCCAAAAATCAGAAAAAAAAAAGAACTTGCCCGCCCATCGCTTGCGGGTGGTCACCGTTGCATTTTCTCTGTAGTGAACATCCTGTTCCAGTGAACGAAATATTTTCACCAGTAAGCGAAAATTGTCAGTTATCTCCAGGATGGGAAAACTAATTTCGGTCTCGAGCGTATCACAACATGCAGCAGAAAATAATTCATTCGGATCGCTGAAGACCTGTTTATATGGATTAATGATGTTACTACAACTTAGGACATATTAATTGGTATAAAGCGCAGAGTGTGCTTGAGGGTAGGGAAAACATTTTATTTTTTATCTACGGCTTTTCGGGCTGCGTTAAATGGATATTCATCTATCTAGTGAGGGTTCATTGGATTTACTACCACCACGAGGCTTTGGTGAACATAACTGCAGCTTTAAGAAACACTTAAAACTTCAGCTTCGTCGAACATGAAGGAAAAAGTAAGCAAAAAGTATAGTCAATATTTGTGGCCTAGTGGCGATAGATTTCTTTTGTAGATTCAGAAGTTCCGAATTCTGATCTTGATTATATCAAATTTTTTACTAAGACTCCTTGAAATAGCACTGCAAGAAATGAACGGCATTTCTTTCGCGTATCCTTGGAAGTTAAGCTTCCAACTGATAACTAGAAGATGCTGGGTTTGATTCCTTGTTGATTTTTAACTGAAATTAAGGAGCGGGGTGTACAGAGAGCATAATAAGGATTAATGAGGCTCCAAGTTTGATATGTGTCATAAATTTTCACTGGCCAATGAACAGACTGATGACTGAACTACATATATATTTCCAGATATATTAGTGTTTTGGGTTTGCAAACTGAATAGCAATTGTTTTTGACGCATTAAGAGTGCAATTATCGTATCTGTTTATTGAACTGAATATACATATAATATGAATCTATATGCTTATCATGTCAATTAATAAAGAAAATTTTAATTTTATTTACTCAATTTTAATATAATATTATATTTTAATGCATATATATGATTTAAACAAATTAAAAGTCTTCTACATTCAGTCAAACTCCTGAGCATTTAAAACTGATGATTTAAATATATATCCCATAATTTCTGTTTGCAGTTTTCCGCTCTCAAATTAGAAAATTTATTTGACAAATAATTAATATGAAACAAAGCTTTATTCAGAACTTTCATTAACTGTTTCATCAAGACTAGATTGGATTGGACGCACTAAGGTTATCTGCTTTCGTATAAGACTATCTAAGAACTGCCTCATTCTTATGTTAAAAATGCGAATTGCCAAGAAAATGCCCATGGAACCAAACCGTTCCCCGGACTTTGAACCCGGGCCGGACAATCATATCTTCGGTGCTCAGTGATCTTCAACTCACGTTTGATACCTTTTTGATACGTTTGATACTACAGAGTACTTTTTGTCTGTGAACTTAAGATCGATGAAGTAAATTTTTTTCCAATTATTATATCTTTTCTCGAAAGCCATTCTTTTATAATCCAGTGGTTTATCTCTGGGCATATTCTGTTCAAGCGCCATAAAAATCTTAGAATAATTTTTGGGGATTATCAGTTGGGACTTAATCTAATTTATTGCCTTCATATAAACGAATATATATTAGAATCCATTGGAGCTGTCAGTTGAAAGGTGTCTTTTTTTTTTTTCCTTTTAAAGGGAAAGCAGACTCACTGTTACCATTTAGGTGACGTCTGACACTATATTTCAGAGAAAAAGAAAAACATGTACATATACACAAATCCTTTGCTATATTATTAGAATTAAATGCACGAGAATGAAGTAAATTCTCTCGATTCGGACTGTAGATTAATAATTCAGATTGCTCCATTTAATAGATTTTAGGCCACTACGTTTATGTTGCTTAAAATGCTGAGAAAATAATGAAAATTCTTCATTTTGCAGTCATCAGACATGCGCATTACTAGTAATTCTGCGAGGTACTTGAACAGGCGAATTAGGCATCCAGTTTGAATTTAAGTGCTGAATTTCAGTCAGGGTTATTTAGCTTGCATCTGTTAGTTGGAACCTATATGTTTGATCACTGCAACTAATAAATTAGCGACAGTCAACGATCTGATTTGTGAGTTTTGTGAGGCTTTGGGAAAATTTCCTGCATCCATTTCGAAGACTGGGCTTTTTTAGTATCAAAGCCATAAACTCATGTTTCATTACTGGTGAATAATAAAATTTTTTCCTCATTCACATGTCCGCAGTAAATTGCAGTGCTATTGCCCTTCTGATCTCGATTCAGCAGACGTCGGACGAATTTTATAGCAATGCGATGCATTTCGAATTTCTCAGGCAAAAAAATGTGACGATATGATCTAATTAAAGTTTTGTAATCTTCAGCAATTTCTCGTGCAAACAATGGTTAGTTTGAACGCACGTTTTCAGGAATATGAGCCACCGAGTTTCATCAGTTAAGGTCGATGTGTTCCGTGAATGAAAATCATAATCAGTTGATTGTAGGCCATCTTTGAATTGCTTAAATCAATCAAAACACTGCATAGAGCTTATGCAGTAATCACCGTAAACTTGCTTCAAAATTCAACGGGTCTCTTCCCTCTCTTCAACTTCAACGTAAATTTTGTGTTAATACACTGTTCATGAAATTAATTCATTTTGAGAATCTCAGAATAGATACGAAAAGTTGCGTAATATAACGACTAATGACAATTTAAATATGAAACAAAAGAAAATAATCTGCCGGGGTCATTTACATACAACGTCACTTAACAGATTTCACTGTAAAATCGCAATGAAGCACTGCTAAGAAAAACTCGTTGAACAGACTTTATATTACGTAACTCGGGAAGGAACAGTTCGGTTTTTTTCCTTGTCCTTTTATCTTTTTTGCGTAAAAGATGTTGCGTATTTGATGTGTTAACTGGAGGGGAAATTGCAGTCTAATTGATAAAGAAATGCATCCTTGTCCAATTTTTAAATCAAAGAAATTATTTTCCACTGGTATAAAGAGCATGCTAGCATTTCGATGGTGGAGCTCTAGTATTCAGTGCTGTGGGAGAATGCATTAAACGCTTAAACCACAAACAATCCCTTTTCTTTCTCTAGCTCTTGTGCATTCATTGGGGACCTCGATAACCTTTAGACTCTTAATTTCTTTCTCTTTTTAAAAAAGACCGTGTGACCCACACAAACTCAGTAACTAACTCAATCTTGTTCCAAGGCCTTTTCTTAAGAGCGCTAAGAACTGCACTTATTATTAGAATCTTCTTTTGCCGGAGTCTCTTAGCGGCATTCACTGCAAACCAAGAGCACCCCTACTGTGGATCGGAGGTTGCGCGCCATTTCATTGCTCGAAAGGCTCTGGATCGAGGGACGGAGGGGGTGCAACGAACACATATTTTCCCACGCCTTCGAGTGGCTCCGATGGCAACCTCATGCAGGTTTGCGCATAATCGATCTGCAATGGCCAGCCGGCTTTTAAGAAAATCACTCATTCTGTTTACTCACCAGGGAAGCAGCCTGTGATTGGACACGCGGAATGTCTTTGTGGGTAAAACTTTTATCCCCCTTTCCATTATCTCATTTCTCCCCCTTTCTCTGTTAGCAATCTTTGCACAAGCTTTAAACACCGTTTGGAAAACCACATTATTAAATGGGAAAAGAATAAAATGAAAAGTGTCAATACCTTATTGAAAATGTAGCAAATTCGTTTTTATGAAGAGACAAGCGATTGCTCTGTAGCGAAGTACGTATTCTAATGCTGTAATGTTTAGAAAAATAATCAGTTACACATATTATAAACTATATCAGCTAAGTACACTACGTAAGACATAAAATATAAAAAACATTACAAGAAATACGGATAAATTAAATTTTTAAACTCTGGTTCTTACACAGAAGAGACCTACTAAGAAGTTCGAGTGGATAAACTCGCTGAACGCTGATAAATTCGATCCTGCTTCAAATGCCAGTAAAGGAGTTGACTGCATGGCGTCAGGGCCGGGACCTAACATAAACAAATGTCTAGGACCCAGTTTTCTTGAGGGCCCGGTCAAACCGTCCACTTTGAAAAAAATGTAAAAATAAAATAAGTTTCTTTTTATTTCACAAAATAAATAAAAGTGCATCCATATACTCAATTTAAATTTAATCTAAATTTAAAGGTTTCTTTTTTTAATAAAATTTATTGGTATAAATGGTCCACTGTACATGAACAATAGTTTTCTGACTAACTAATCTGCAGGTGGGGGCGTGACACGTGATATTGGATGCGTACTGCATGGTGGAGAGATGTCTAGTAAAAAAATTAACCGTAGCAAGATTAGAGACAAAAGAATATGCACATAGGTGTTTTATTGGTAGATAGACGATTTTTTGGCTCTAAATATAGAATTTCTGGAAGTGGTTAATTAGTTGAAGTGTTGAAATAGCTTTTTATATAATAAATTGTATAAATAATTTATATAAAATGAATTATTGCCACCCTTCCAGTGCCGAAAAATGAAAGCGTGCGAAGAAAATGCAGGAAGAAACAATAAAGAAAAAAAATTATCTGTTTAGCTATGTTATTAATACAAAACCAGATAATATTAATGCGTATTTCATTCTGAAGCAAAGTTATAGAAAAAGAACTCGGGGAGAATTCTGGAAACCAGAAAGTACACGCGGAAGTGACAGAAAGCAAAGAAACCGAATTGAAGTAATAGAAAGGAAAAATATAGAAGGAATACCAGATATTGCTAAGAAAATCCAAAATGCAAGTGATGAAGGAGAAATTCAAAATATAGAATGCATAACCTAACATCGTTAATGATGCTTTAGTTTCGGAAAATTTGAACATTTCTTTGTGTCCTTTAAGGAGACGGTGGACTTTAAAAATTAGTTTTTGAAGTTTTTGTGTTTTCAACAAGAAATTTTATGCCTATACATATTATAACATCAGTTTATAAAATATGTGTTCAAAATTTCAATTTATTTTAAATTAAAAAAATTCTAAACAAATAATTAATTATTTTAAATAAAAATTTAAAATGCTCCTTGCGAGCTAATTTTCGAATTGTTTTCCTAATTTTTCCTTTAAATTTTTCCTTTAAGTTAGTTATAAAGACGTGACAAAAGTTTTTGTGTACCCTTTATTGAATATGATGGATCAGAAATTTTTAAAAAGGACTTGTGAACTTAAACCCAGTTTTCGGAAAAAAAAACACCTTTTGTTAAACATTATCGCAAGTTTAAACTTCTTTAATAACCTCATAACCAAAAATGCATACACAGATCTACTGGAACATATAACAAGACAGTTTCTTCCAAATACCATTCATTTTTAACTAAAAATGAGACGCATGGAGCATTTTCAAGACATGAACTGCAAAAAAATTAGTTTTGAGGAAACCGAATTTAAAGTTTTTCTTCAAAATTGCCTTTAATACATGGTCATGAGAAACAGCAAATTAACTTTAAATATGAATATATAGACACTAGGTAACATTTTTGTATCATTTAAATATTTTTATTCTCACAATATTAAATTTGATAAAAATAAGTATATCGCAAATTGGTATGTGATTCGAAGTTAGAGGTAGACACAATTCATACATTATATCCAATGAAACTTTTAAAATTCATCCGCGTCATATGTTTTACCTTCATCTTTTACATTTACTTTATTTTTTAATGCTTTAAAATATGTTTTACTATTTCTGTTTTTTTAGTCCAAAGGGATTTGAATCCCGAAGGGCTATTAGTTTCGTTTTGGCATTTTGCGTCGGACTCATAAATGTCGGTTCACTTTTCAAACTGTTGCCACAAAATGTTAGAGTCCTGCATTATATTTGAAGAAATTAAATAATGAAAAATCTGCATAAATGTATGTATATTTCTCGTATTGTGATAAAACAACGGTACATAGAGTCATCGAATTTTGAATAACGTAATCCTCCAACGAATATGAGCATGTGGAAGACCAAATTTGAAATTTGAAATTTGTTTTATGATCGATTTCCTATTTTTAAAACTTTGACGAATTTTTGATTAACAAACTCAAGGATTTCAAACGAGCAAGGGCAACGTTGGGCAGAAAAAAAAACATTTTTATCTCCAGCGCGTGAGTCTCTGTATCGGAAATTCTAAAGATATGCTCGTTTTAAAACTATTTTGCGATATTGCTGTTGCACTGGATCTTATGGTTTAAGTGCGAGGAACATGATTATTTAATAAAGAAAGGTAACACACAAAATGTTAAAAAACGCCCCTTTGAACGTAATTTAAAATCTGAAACATTTCAGATTTTTTTTTTTTTTTTTTTTCCAAGCAGGTAAACTTCTCTTTTTGCTTTGGTTCAAGTGACGTTGATCATTCTTTTTTGCAACGAGTTGGCTTCCTCCTGTTCTACGCCTATAGTATTTACTTAACCAAAGTTAAATTCATTAATAGTTGTCAATGCTGACATTTCTAACCATTTTTTAAGAAATAAACACTTCTTTTGGTCAAATATATAAATTATAACATCAGTAAATAACCGTTGAAATACCTTTTTCTACATTTTCTCCAAAATTTTAAGGGCAAAGTTCACGCTGTTTACACATTTTAAACGCTTGTAACTTCTTTAAAAATTAGAATATTTGAACTCGGTTTTTTGAATATGATGTAGTTACGTATGTGGAATATTACAAGAGTGAAAAAACAAATTCAATATTTTAGTTGATTTTTTAGTTATTTTAAAGTCCACCAACATGTCTGTTGCCTCCACGAATTCAAACAACCCTGCGTAGAATGCAGGGCGAAAGAGGTTTCTTCAACTATTACTCAAGCTATTCAAGGATTCTATAAGGTATTTCTCCCACTTTCCTAGCGTGCTTTCGTGGGTGTAGTGGTTCTGCACGCTGGGCTGGTATTCCAGAGGTCTGTGGTTCGATTCCCGGCGAAGGCGGTTGCTAATTTTTTTCATCTCTCCGGCTTTTCCAATTAACCTAATATCTCCACAACTGAATAAAAGTAGAACCCTACAACGAATTCCAAATCTTCCGAGTGGATCACAACTGTTATGAACTATGGGATTACACGGAAGGAATGTAAGCAGAAACTGCCTGAAATAAATTTGACTTAATAGAAAAATATTAGAAATACTCTATAAAGGAACTTTGTATTTATATATTTTGTGCTATTCCGATGACCATTACCAGTATAAAACATAACATGGCCGGAATAATAATTATCAGAAGTGCCAAAAATGGAATTATTTACAATAATAATATTTATTCTTCTGACGATAAGCCTGTGATGAACAGTTTTAATTCTATTAAATTATTACGTATGTAATATAAGAAATTAGCGATTAATAAAAAAGTGTCATTGTATAATTTCTATTTCATATTCCGTTTTTATCTAAAAATTAAGCTACTCTTTAAAAAAAAAAAAAAAAGTCGCATTTCAGAGGGCAAATAGTTCGTGAGCCAAAGTTAAATTTTCCCAAAATGCAATAAGTGTACTTTGATTTAGCAGAGCAAACTGTTAGGAGTGTTTATAGTTTTAGTTACAGTATGTTCTAATTTTAAATGCACACGTTTAATTCTGTTGTGACTGTAAAAGTAACTTTTGTGTATACTCCTTAGCTATGCAGAAAAACCTTTTACCTTTTAAGTAGCTGAAACCCAAAGAGCAATTATTATCAGATATTTTTTTCCAGTTAATAATTACTCATTATTGGCCAATAATTGCTCACCGATGTTTCGTTACCTCATTTTGAACTGGTTCCGCACTTTTCACTCTTCGGCCTTATTATCTATACAGATACAATTTTCCAGCTACATATGAAGTAAAATGAATTCGGAGTATTCAAAACTGCATCATACGTACCTAATATATACTACTAGAAAGAAATTTAATTCATAATAGTAATTCTGAAGGTGTTTATAAAAATTGTTGATTGTTTACATTATAAAGTATATCAATCAGACGCATTATGAAGTAGATTAATTATTAAAAAAATAAAATAAAAAGGTAATAAAAAATAAAACAAAAAGATAAATTATAAAGAATGGCTTTTTACTTCCTTGTACGAAGTTAAAAAGGAAGTATTGTAATCGCGAAAAGTTTCAGGCAGCATATTTCAACGAAAATATCCATTTTGACCGCTATCGAATGAAATTTAACGATGCTTTTGCGTGATATCTGTACGTAAGGACAGAATAAAAGACTCTTTTCCTCAAAAAAATTATAAAACTGCTTTAAAATGAATTCTGAAGAGAATTTTTCGTGGCGTCTGTACGAACGTATCTCGCATAACTCAAAAACAAGTAGCCTCAGAACGTTGAAATTTTGTATATAGGGACTGCTATAACATGTAGATGTGCACCTCGTATTTTGGTTGCAATCGGAAGCACCAAACGTATATAAATATATTTATATATATATATCCACTCTGTTACCCGGCTCAGTGATCTCAGTTCTTTACTCTTATATGGTTGTAAATTGTACATTTTTTGCTTTAAAAATGATTGAATTATGTTGTTCTTATCTTCCGGTTAAGGCTTTTATGCCTTTAGTAAATTTGTATGCAATATTTTTAGAATTATCAACAATTTTAAAGTTGTTTAAGTGCTGCTAAGCCTAATAATGTTTTGGATGGCGGCCATTGCTTGTTTACATTTAAAACAGCAGAATAGTGGATTTGTGGCCAAATCTAGAGAAACTTAGCTTCGCAACAACAAAGATAACGCCTTCATTTATTATTGCGAATTAAATCATGCTTAATCCTTTCTGGAATTTTTTCGAGGAAATAAGTGTTAAAGATTTACTTCGTAATTTTTGATACGGATATTTTGACATTTTATGTATTTTTGCCTTGTCGCGAAGTGAGAACTCAATTAATTGAATAAGAAGTACTCAATTGTCTGTGAAAAACTGTTTTTTTTTTCTTTTTGTTGTTGTTGTTGAATGATGTATAATTTTTTTATACATCCTTCTAGCTTTATTATAGTATTTGAATAGAACATGTGGCAACGATTAGATAATTCTTTAAATGATATAAATTTTGTGCATTCTGAGTTATAATATGAACGAAATATAATACTGTTAAGTGAACCTAGCGCCAGAATGTCGCTATGGTAAACAAATAGAGTCAATTTTAAAGAATGCATTTATTCTATTGTGGTTTATGCGCTGTCGGCGAAGTAGATTTAATTCAATCCAATAAGTTTAAATGAAATGGAAAAAAATGCGTATAATTTAATATTCCGGGTAAGGAAGTCATGTGGTGTACACATCAGATTTTTTTCTTTTATTTCTCAGATTTAGTTACGCAATTACGATTGTAATTTGAAAGAATTTTCTGCCATATCAAATAGAAGAAACTG